CTGATTGCATTGGAGACAGGGGTGTTTTTGTGGTTTTGTGACTTTAAAATCAGTTGTCATAAACAGACTGCTGTTTTCCAGGTTGTCTGAGGGGAAAAATAAAGGCAAATTTTAAAGACACTGTGATAGGGATATTGTTTTCCAGCATTCTACTCTTCCATAAAGTTTATATTTCATCCAGAAATGTATGGAATTTTAAAGAGTGTTTGGCATACAGAAGGGCTTACAGGTTTGACCTTTACATTTGTGTTTAATTTTCTTTTTGTAAAATAATATTTGCAATCCTCTTCATTCTGGTCATGTTTACTTTTTTAATACTTTTGTTACAGAACAATTATCAGATGTTTCTCAATGAGTTTCATGATGTGATTGTTTTCATACCTAACTTTTCAACAAATGAGACAGTTTTAGGTAGGCAGCAAGTAGGAGATGTGTCTTCTAGTACAGGGAACAAATGCAGTCACTTGGATTTCAGGAAATAGAGTGTGAGGATAACTTTGAAATTACCTTTCCTTGGGATGAGATAAACAAGAAATTTAAAGATTATCTCTACTTTTTGAGTATTTTCTATTGAAATAAATGAGTGCATCCTGGAAAAAAAAATCTTTCTCTTACAAGGTAGTGTTTTCCTCTGTGAGTCTTTGTGTTTTACTGTGTGTTCAAGGTAAAAGCAATCCAACCCTGATATAGGTGATGAGTGACTTCAGCAGAAGAGTTTTATCCACTGATTGAATGGTGACTTTAGAGTGGGATTTCCTAAGATTTCAAAGCAGTTAAGCAGAGTTTTATCCAACTACTTCTCATTATCAAAAGCTGTGTTTCTCTACATTATCTGCTTTATTCAGTTCTTTACACTGCATAGGTAGCACGGTAACTCTGTAAAAGTAACCATGCTTTCTAATAGCATTCTTTCTTCTTTTTCCTTCTACCTAGAGCCTGTGTGTATTTACACCGCCAGGAGCTAAAGAAGGACAACCACGGCTCATTCCTGCAGGGCCTATTGCACATGGCACTACAGTGTCTGCTTATGTAGCCAGATCCAGAAAAACGTTGTTAGTAGAAGATATTCTGGGGGTAAAAAGATTTTTTTTAATGAGATGATTACAGAATGTTCTTTGAATTCATATTTTGATGCTGAAATGTTTATTGAGATGAATACATAATGTTATAATTTACATCTGTCTTGATGCCTAGAAAATAAATTTGAGTTTGGATTAGCTTGATGAAATAATTTCAGAATATGTTATTTATTTTGAAGTTTAAAGATAGGGTTTTTTTTTTTTCACTTTTAACTTTTTTTTTGCTTGTCAGATAAGGGAAGTAATGGTGCCATAGACACTTGGAGAGAGAAAAAAAAAACCCAAACCCAAACAAACTCTGTCAAAACTCCTGTTCTCCTAGTCTTGAAATACTTAATGTGCTAATCCCAAACAAGAAGACTTCAAGTTCAATTTAATTGTAATTCATGGTGCTTGCTGACAAAGATGTTAATCAGAATTTTGATTATTAGGCAGGATTTTGATCTCTGCATAAACTAATGTAAAGCTAGAATACTTTATAATATCAGGAGATCTCCATGAAAGACACACTAATGTAACTGATATAAAAATTCAGGCATTTGTCCATAAAAGGATTCAGAAAATCCTAAGGTGATATTCTGATAATTCTTGGCACTCTGTATATCTGTCCTTCTTAATTTTTTAAAAAAAATTAATCCTCTAGTCACATTTTTGCAATTGTATGAAACTGGTATTTAAACTCTACTTACTGAGAACACTTTATGATCAGCTGGTTATGAGAAAGGAAATTTAAATTTTCTTATCTCTTCAGTGTTTTCTATCCTTTTGAGTTCCATCCAGAGTCACAATCTTTGAATACTGTGGCCAAAAGTGGATGTTGTTGTCTCTGTTTTAAAAAATACTTCCTAAAAAATGTGTGACCTTTATTGGGCAAGCTTGGGCTATAAACAAAATACCAAATGCCTAATGTGAATAGATTTAAAGAGAACCACAAAAACAAAAGACAGAAGCCACTTTCCCTGTAATAATGGTCAGTGTGTTCTATACACCCTCACTATAAGATTTTATGTTGTTAGGTTTTTTTTCAGTCACATGTAGGGCTTAAATTGTTATCGATAATTTCCAATTAATATCATTATATCCTTGTGTACGAGAGTTGCATGTTTTGATTTTCCATTCATAATAAAATTTGGGGAGTAATGAAGAGGAGTTTTGAACTTTTTTGTTGGTTTACTCTATCAGTGGTTTACTGACTAAACAGATACTTATTTTGATGACATGGTTTACTTTCACATGAATTTAGGAGCATCTCAACAGTGAAAGCAAAGTGTTTGCATATAGACTTGCCAACTCTTTTTTTGGGGAGGACAGAATTAAAAAGTAAAAGCAGGAGGCTCAAGTTGCACAGTGCTTCCCACTCTCTTTTGTCTGTCATTTGTTCCTAGACATTCAGATAGATTGTCATCTTGGTAATTAAGGTAGAGTGTACTTGCTGTTTTTTTTATGAGAAGGGAAAGATTTGTATCAGCCTTGAAGGAGTGCCTGTCTTGCCTAAGCTCAGCCTTCAGAGACCATCTGGTACAAACCAAATACTGAAGGATTGATGTGCAGCAAAGGAGGTCTCACACACTTCACATCAGCTAGTTACTGCCTTACTAGCTGTAACATTTGGGTGGTTTTGCAGGTCTTTGTGATTTTTCCCATATGGGGAACTGAAGCTGTAAAGCCTTGGGCATTTCCTATGTAGGTAAAAAAATTAAGAATTTGGGGCTTTTATAGCAGTTGGTAGAATTATTTCAAAATTTTGCACCTGTTTATTCAGGATGCATAAGCAAGGGAAGGAGAAAGATTCTCCTATAATAATGCACATTTTAGGAGCATAATAATGCTCCTATGTAATGTATAATAATAATTCTCCTGCATTCTCATGCATAATTTTTTGGCAACACATTTTCCTCCTCCGAGTTGGTTGAGGTTTATAACACTATAACCTAAAGCCTTAGCTTTAGGTTTCAATTTTTGTTCTCTTGGAAGCACTACTGTGTGCTTGGTAACACTGAAATCTGAGCAGACCACTTCATGATTACAAATGCTTTGAGTTTTCTGGGGGTGAAAGAGGGGAGGAATGATGGGGTAGTGTTGTTTGTTTGCATTTCTACTTAATCTGAACCAGCATTATCAGTGAAGTTCTGGTTTGCTGCCTGTGAGATTAAAGAAAATGTGTTATAAAAACAACCCAAAGCTGGGTCTGATACCACAGGCAATTCTGGCTTTACATCAGTAAGGTTACCTGTATATGTAAATTACTGCTGAGACTTTTAAATTATATTTTTTTAGTATATGTTTTAGTACTGTGTGTAAATTATGCAGATATATGAGTTTTAGTGACTTTTATAATTTTCCCGATCAGCCAAGGGAGGGAAGGAAAATGTCAGTATATCTTTCATGTTAATGTTATGATATTTACATTTTATCAGATTATGCTTACATTTTCTAGGATGAGCGGTTTCCCAAAGGTACTGGACTGGAATCAGGGACTCGTATCCAATCTGTCCTGTGTTTGCCAATTGTCACTGCAATTGGTGATCTGATCGGTATCCTGGAGCTTTACCGTCACTGGGGCAAAGAAGCCTTCCATCTTAGTCACCAAGAGGTGAGCTCGTGCCCAGCCTTTCACCGCTTCCCCAAAATGGTCCGCTCTTAAACCCCATCCCCCCAGCTTCTTGTCTCACTCGTGTGTTTTAGTTTGTTCATACTTGATTTTTTGTTTTCATGGAATGTTACTTATTGAAAAAAAAAATAGGTAGTGATTTGTATTTGCAGTCACAGGAGGTAAAATTTACATATACAAATACAGGGACATATCAAGAATTTCACCTTGTGTTCAAGATTTCTTCATTGATTTTAAACTCAATACAGAGCTGTTAGAAAACTTAATGCAGAGCAGGTAAATGAAGTAATATAAGTGTAAATCAAATGTCAGAAAATTAAATCACTTTATATAAAAGGTCACTGCCAAATTACCCTGAATCTCAGTTTTAACTTTTCAGTAAAGCTTTATTTTACAGTATGGAAAGATATTTTTTATTCCTTTTCTAGTT